AAATCCAGTAGCATGAGCAGCTATTTAAAAGGTAGCAAGAGACATTATGGTAGCCATTTTGGATTTACTATTGGCTTATTTTTAAGTCCTTTATTGAATTGATTGTTTTGTTTTTATTGTTTCTGCTCTATTCTGTTCTGTTCAATTTTTACTATATCTGAAGATATATGCAGCTATATTGAAAACAACAAAAGGCATTATGGTAGCTATTGCTGATTTCATAACAGTTTGAAGTCCTATGTCACTTATACTAGTTTATCTTGATTGGTTTTATTCTGTTTTATTTTCATTGGTTTTATCCTCTTTAAAATAAAGTTTTTAAAATTTAAAAAAAAAAATTGCAGCCATTGACTCAGTTTGCAAATGGCTACCACTCTAGCTGAAAGATGCTGGTGTGTGATGTGAGGTAGACAGCTTGACTTAGCAGATCCTCCTGTGTAGTTAGTGACAGATTCCCCACCTCCGCCTCCACCAACACAACCCAGCCAATATGTTGTGTTGGATATCAAGTGTGTCAAATTTCTCAGTGACTGATCATTTGAGTTTGTTGTTTGGTTTATGGGTTGGTTGGCTAGTTTTCACTTTTTCACATCATTCAAACTATTAATTATCTTGTTGTTGTTGTTGTTGTTGTTGTTGTTGTTGTTGTTGTTGTTGTTGTTTTGAGACAGACCCTCACTGTGTAGCCCAGGCTGGCATCTAACCCACAGCTATCCTCCTGCCCTAACGTACAGAGTGCCGGGATTATGGACTTTTATGCCACCACGCTTGGCCTCAAACCGTTAGCTATCTTTGAGATGCCTGCTAATTTGTTCTATTGTATGTTTCACTGTAGCAGTCCTGAAGACACAAAGAAAAATAACAGCATTCTGGAAACCTGTGTACTCAATGAATATATCAGTCAGTGCCACAACAAACAGCCACACAGACTGGGCATCAAAAGACACCAAAACTGTACTGCCCAGACTATAACGAGGAAGTACAGGCAGATTGTGTTTGTGCATGTGGTACTGATGATTGAAACCAGGGTCTTCACACCGGGCTACATCTCCAATCCTTTGTTTATATCTTTTTGTTTTTAGACACGATATCTTTAAGTCACTAAGTTGCCCAGGCTGTACTCCAACTTATAACCCTCTTGCCTCAGTTTCCCAAAGAATGGGGATTACAGGTACGCATTACCAACATGCTTAAAAGTTTAATTTTAATTAGTTCAAATCAAATCAAATTTAAAATTCAGTTCTGCAGGCATGCTAGCCATATTTCAAGTGCTTAATAGCACCATGGGGCTAGTGGCTAAGATAGGGGACAGCACCGACATAGAGCAGTTCTCTCCGCAGAAAGTGCTAGTACACAGCCCTGCTCAACGTAGCATCACTGACCTAGACTCTGATGTGGAGGATGCCACCCAGCAATCCTAACACAGCAAGCTAGACAACTCATACCTTGTCTCCTGACACTCAGCATAATTCCCTGAGCATTAAATGTTTTTCTTTGTCGGTTGCTTGGTTGCTGTTACTGTTCTGGTGACACTGAGGATTGAGCCCAGGCCTTCACACCGAGCTGCATCCCCAGTTCATTTTTTACTTTTTTTTTTGAAACACAGTCTTGCTAAGTTACCCAGGCTGGTTTTGAATTTGCCATTCTTTTGTCCCAGTCTCCAAATGCACTGGAAGGCCAGGCATGTGTCACCTGTCCTAAATCAACAATGGGAAAAGGCACACTGGCTTTTTCCATCCTTTTAGCTTCACAAATGTGTCCCTACTGTTCTTCTACTTAAACCAATTTCTGCCCGCCCAGGCTACCCCGGGCATGTCTCATAGAGAACACTGAGTGCTGTCTTCTTCCCCTGCTTGGTGCCTCTGGGACCTGGGACCTGGCACTAGTCCATCTCTCTTTTTGTCTGCCATTGCTCCTTGCCTCACACTCTTGGCTCCAACATATTTGATTTTCGATCACACAGGTAGGGTGGTTCTGCGTCTCCAGATTTCAAGATTTGGGGACATTCAGTCTCTGAGCCAGAATGCTCTCCTGCCACCATCACCCGGTCTGTAGAGCTGTGTGTAACCCATCACCTTTTGGTCTGATCACCCTGATTCAGATATTCTCCTCCATTCTCCAGCTTCCACGGTGCCCTGGCCTCACTGTTACTATCACTGCTTTGCTCCACCATCTGGCCTTCATCCAGGACATGAGCTCCTCAGAGAGAATGTGAACCACTGTTGGCCCACTTGTCACGTATTATCCCAGATGAGATGCTTTAAGTTTCTGTGTCTCATTTGCCTCATCTGTAAAGTGAGGATAATAACAAGAGATATTTTCGGAGGTATGTTAGTGGGTTGCTTCAAAGCAGAATCAATAAACTAGATATAGATATATAGATGTAGCTGGATTGAATATGAGGAATAAACTCACGAGATTATGGAGGCTGAGAAGTCCCACAATCTGCCATTGCAAGCTGGAGGCCCAAGAAAGCCAGTGGTGTGACTCAGTCAGAGACAGAAGGCTGAGAACCAGGGGCACTAATGATCTAAATTCCAGTCTGGGACAGACAGGAGAAGGGAGATGAGACATCTCAGCTCTACTAGGGAGACAGAGAAGAAAGGATGATTTCCTTTTTCCTCCCCTTATTCAGGCGTCTAGTGGCTAGGACAATCTCCATCCATCTCCATCTCCATCACTGCGGAGGGTGATCTTACTCATTCCACTGATGCAAATGTTAACATCGTCCAGAAACATCCTCAGAGCGCACCTAGAAATGATGCTTTTCCTGCTGTTTGGGCATCCCTTAGGCCCAGTCAAGTTAACGAACTTCTCACAGAGGGTAAATAGAAACAATATATGTCAGAATTTAGAAAAGTACCCAATACACTACAAGGGGCAACCAAAATACACAGTGAATGTTTAAATTTTACAGTGTATCACAGTCAAAGACACATTACCATTAATTTTCCTTAAATTATTTCCCCCTTGCTTCAAAAACACTCATCCGATCATTTCTGCCACTCGCTGGAGCAGTTCCGAAGTCCTCTTTTACAAGTGTCTTTACGAGGTATGATAAAAAAGATGATGAATTTTGCTGCCAAGGGCCATCCAACAGAAAGACAAGCTCTTTAAAATATTAGTTGGTCCTCATCCACATTGTATGCCACGTCTGGGATTGTGTGATATCTGACTTGCAAGTTCAAGACCAGCTTGGGCTACAAAGTGGATCCAAGGCCAGCTTGAACAGCATAACAAGACCCTGTCTCAAAAAGACAGAAAAGAAAGAAGGAAAGAAGGAAAAAAGGAAAGAAAGAAAGAAAGAAAAAGAAAATGGCAAAAACAATGGGATGTTCTTAAAGTGAGGGGGAATATTCTGAGGGAGATTGATGCAGTGGGTCTTTCCCTGTAATAATTTTTTTAATTTAAACATTCACTGTTTTTTTCAATTGCACCTCATATGTGTTTATGTTTTGAGAACTTGGCGTATGTTCAGTGACTCCGGCCTGAATTAGTAAAATGATAGGTGACTCTGACTGCTTTAAAGAAAGCCCCACAGGCTGTCTTGGGGTAGCCGGAGACCCAGGAACTTTAAATGCCATCCTCAGCAAAGGAACTGCAAAAAACACTGCTTCTTGCCGTCAAAAGGAAACCCAGCTCTGGGTCTGGGATTGTCTTTGCTGCAGACTCTCTGGAATCGCTGCCCTCCTGGCTGGGAGAAAGTTAATGACCTCCTTCATCTGGGCAGGTGGGAGGGAGCTTAAAGACTGATCACAATAGCAATCATAAAATGTCCAACATTTAATGGGCACTTTCTGTGTGCCATTGATTCTCAAGTGGGGGCAACTTTCCTCTCCCCAACATCTGCAGAGTTTTGCTTGTTACAAATGGGAAAATGCTACTGCCACCCAGTAGATTGAGGTCAGAAATGCTTCTAAAAGTCCTGCAGTACCCAAGACAACCTCCACAGTAAAGAACCATCCAGTCCAAGTGCCAGCGGTGTTGAGATTGAGAAAGCCCATTTTGTTCTAAGGCACCGACCATTGTAATTTGCATAATGATGCTATCAGTGAGGCTCTGTTATTACTATCAGGGAATATCATGGAAACGTTCCCCTTTTCCAAAGGAGGAAACTGAGGCTCAGTTATGCAAACTGCCTGCAATTACCCAACTCATAAGTAGGAGGAGCTGATCCAAACCCAGAGCCAACTCTGAGGGCTGCTGTGTGCAGGGCCACCATACCCTTCAGACCCATGTGATAACACAGAACCTGGGTCTGCTGTTAACTGGACTGAATTGGAAGCCCTTTTGGATACTCAGTGGCTGTGTGACCTTGGGCAATGTCTTTGAAGCTCTCTAAGCTTCTACTTCCTTCTGTAAGCAAGGAGGGTGAGGGACTACTGGTTAAATCTGACCATGAATGTGAAATGCTTGTCAGTCCAGCACTCCTTAAGTGGTAGCTGCTGCTACTGGTGGTGTTGTTGTCATTGTTGGCATCATGGTTATTATTCCCACCCCTTTGTGCTGAGACTTGGATTCCCTCCCACCTGATCCTAGAGAAAAAGAACTCATTTTGTGGCCGGTCCCAGCACGCCAGCTGGCACTCAGAAATCAGTGGAACGCTGCCTCCCAATGCCAGATTCCTCCATGCAGAAGACAGCCAGTGCTTCTGGAGACTGCAGCAGTGCCCAGGAAAGGAGGCATGTTGCTCAGGTCCAGCGTTGCCCACATCACCTGAGGCTGCTCTCTCTCTTCCCAGCTGCATCCCTGGGAAGCACCAGGTTCCCTCAGTGCAGAATGCAGCCATCTTTTTGGCCCTGCCTCAGGCTCATGCTGCCCTCAGAAGCTGTGTTACCAAATACAGATAGTGAATCAGGTCTGTCTCCTCAAAGCAATATGGTAAACCAAGGCACAGACTGGCTGGTGAGCCCAAAGTAAGAAGGAGGTGAGATAAGAGAGTGGTTAAAGCAGCAGAGTTTGGCATCAGCCTGCCAGTGTTCATTCGAATCCTGACCTACCTGTTTAGTCACTATGCATCCACTTGGGCAACCACTTCCCATCTGAGCTATGGTTTCTTCACCTGCAGAATGGAGAGAGAAGAACACAGGTTAAATCAATAACTCAACCTGTTTTGTCTTGGTTTTTTAGTGGCAAAAACTCAGCTCTAGGGTTCAGAAAGTAGAAGTTATACTCCCCCTGCCTTTAAAAGGGAAGTAACTGGTACCTGGCTATAATCCTAGAACTCTGGGGAGCTGAGACAAAAGGACTACAAGCACAAGCCCAATCTGGGCAGTGATTTAGTGGTTTAGTGAGACTCAGTCTCAAAATTAGAAGGGCTGGAGCTGTATCTTAGTGCAGAGGCTCTCAGTTCAGTCCCCAGTACCACAAAAACAAATGCATTTTATGTCCTTAATATTTTGCTGGCAGTTGTCCATGGTCAGCAGAGGATCATCTTGTTCAGTCATCAGGACCAATGTGAGGAACAAAACAGCAGGCAAGCCTGGGGTGTGGAGGAAAACACGGGGAGGCCCTGAGCCCGGATGGGCATGTGAGACACATGACATGCCAGGTAAGAGACAAGCAGCGTGCCAAATGGGGAATATGAAAGGGTGCAGGTCTCTACCAGCCACAGGTTCTCCTGGTGACCATGGTCCTCTGTGGACTGACCAGGGAAGAAGAGGCCTCTGCGCCAGGCCAAGATTCTCCAGGAGTAAACACCAAAAGAAAGATTAAGCTCAGAAGCAGAGCACATGCCTAGCATGCATGAGTCTTGGCTTTCATCTCCAGCAGTGCAAAAAAAAAAGAGCACACAGTTCCACGGACAATGGCACACCTCCCAGACCAAGATGCAGGGCAATCCAACGGGGCAGTCAGGAAGATCATGCCCCACACAGATGAGGAGGTCTACAAATCCAAGAGGAAGCCTCTGAACCCTTTCCCAAACTCGCCCAAAGCTTTCATCCCTCCAGCAATGGCCTCTTTCCTCTGCCCATCCAGACGCCAGAAAGAAAGCAGCCGCTGCTGTTACCTCACCCCAGCCACGGGGGCAGCCAGCAGCCACCACCTGACAGGGAAGGGCTGCAGGCAGTAGCCAGGCCCCTGCTTTCTTGTCTCCAAGGCAGGGGGTGGTGCTGGCAGGAGGGTGAGGGGGGACAAGGCTTTTATACACAAAGCAGATGCGCCATAAACTCATAATCCCTGGGCACAGACATTCCGGGGGAAATGCTGCCGATTTTACCCACTCGTTCCTCTCAAAATAACTGCACACACTACCTGCCAAGTTTCCGGAGCAGAACAAGTGCTGAAGAATTGGGAACTGATGGAGAGAAATGAGTTCAGGGTAGTAGGAAGTAAAGCACGCTGCTCTGCCCAACAGCAGGTCTTGGAAAAAGAAAGAGTGTTTGTGATGAACTTTTCATGTGAAAAAAAATTTTTTTAATAATAGCAATGTTAATTGCTATCATTTTTAAAGCAGCTACTCTGTCCTGGCTCTGTGCTTTACGTATACAGTTCCACTTAGCTCTGCTGGTAGTATTAGTATTCTCATTTCTACAGATGAATGGAATAAGGCTCACATAAGTCCAGAAACTTCCCCAATGTCACAAGAAATAAGTTGGCAGAACTGTGATCCAAAGCTAAGCCTCTCTGACTGCTGAACCCTCCCAGGTACACCAAGCTGCCTCTGAAATGATTCGTTCATCTGTGTCTGTCAATCATGGGGAACAAGAGACAGAGATGCCTAGACAGACAGAGAAAAATGGTTGGATGGATGGGTGGATTAGATTAGATAGATGGATGGGTAGAGAGGGAGGGAAAGGAAACGGAGAGACATCTATGGTGAATAGAAATATATCTCTACCACCCACTTTTCTAGGTAGACAAGTTCCCAGAGGTGAATAAAATTTGGTGTAAGCTTGCCTAGCATGCACAAAACCCTGGGTTTAATCCCCAGTACAAAAAGAAACAAAAATTTGCTTGAAATCACAGTGAGTTGAAATCAGAACTTACTGGCTTCGTGGTCAGTGAGTACGTGTTCAGGGCTTGCTATGCATCAACAAGAGGCTTAGTCATAAACAGAACAAACTCCGTTCTTGTGGAACTTAAACTTCGGGAAGAGGACAGATTCAAAGAGTCATGACAGCATGATTGTGTTCATGGTGCAATGGGAGGAAATTCAGGGAAGCAGAGCAGAGATCACTGGTGGCCAGGAAAGGTATCTTTGGTGGAGAGAGGTCTGGACTGATATCATCAGAAGAACAGGTGCTGGAGAAAGAGAGTAAGGCTTGAGCTGTGGTCAGCTGGAGCTTCTGGTGGAAAGGGACAGTGGCAGGGAGAGGACTCCGGAGATTAGCACTGAGATCATGTGATGCATAGGAGTGCCTGCAGCAGCAATAGAGTCTTACAGGCAGCTGTCAGCAGGAGTTGACATGACCCAACCTGCATAAAAGACCCTTGGGGGGCTGCAGTAGGCTGGTTAGGTCTCAGGTGCTCAGGTGAGGCACAACGGTGTCTTGGACAAGGAGACAGCCATGGGGATGGCAAGAAGTGAGCAAATTGGCAAATGTCTATCTTGGATATGGAGTGTGTCTTAATCACTTGCCTTGTCGCTGGGACAAAATACCCAACATCAGCAACTCAAAGGAGGAGAGATTTATTTTGGCTCATGTTTCAGTCTGTGCATGGTTGGCAGCCTGATGGAAGAGCCTCAGACAAAGGAAAGCTGCTCATAGCAACCAGGAAGCAGAGAAACAAGAAGGAAGTGGGGAGAGAGATGAGCCCTTTCTCAGTCACATCCCCAGTGAGTCACCTGCCTGGACCCCTCCTAACAGCAAGTCAGCTGCAACGTCCAAGGGTCCATTCCAATGCTTTGGTCAGTGCATCGAGATATAAACTATTGTAGGTTTGATGGTAGCCACATATCCTAGACTTTGGGGACCTTCTCTTTTTCTTCTCCTCCTTCTTCTCCTCCTCCTCTCCTTCCTCCTTATTCTTCTTGAGCTACCATGCCACTATTGCTCCCAAACTCAAGTGATTCTCTAGTCTCAACCTCCCATCTAGCTAGAGCTACAGTTGCATGCTACTGTGCCCCGCTGTCCTTTCCATTATAAATGCAGTGTTCCATTTTTAGAGTTATGTGCCCTGATTCTTAACACTTACAGGCAGTGCCCTTAACAATTGCAGGACTATAGGTAGTACCCCAACTCCTAGTTAGGTCTTTGTTGCTTTGTATAAGAGGACCACATTACCACATAGGCATGTAAGTTTTGAGTATGTGTGAGAAATTTTTCAGTCATAGATATTATTATTAATGCTATGATAACATAATCATGCCCTCTCCCCAAAGGTGTTCCCATCTGAATCCTGTTATGACTTGTATCTAGACGTCCCTCCAAAGCCTAAAGCACTCATAAGTAGGGCTTTTCAGAGCTGGCTGGATCTAGGGTTTGTGATACTGGGGTTAAGAGAGTGTAGTACTAAATTAGTCCACTGACAGGTTTAGCATAGTTCTGGGTGTGGATAATAGGAAACCCCACCCCAGGTGTGTGTGGCACGAACAGAGGAACCAGGCCACCCCAAGGGTCAGCTCAGTCCCAGATGCCAGCCGTGGCCCTGACTCTAGTCCACGGAAAGAAGACATCCCTGAGAGCTCAGTGTGTTCAAGACAATGAGGAACATTGAGTCCTGGTTAGGGACTGAGAGCAGAAGCCAGTGTGGCAACTCATCTGCAGGTCAAATGTGAGCCTAGTAATATGAAAAAGGCATGAGTTTAAGGAAATAGTCTATCATGGGGCAACTGTGCCCCCCAGGGGACACTTGGCCAAATCTGGATGCATTTTTTGATTATCACAAATTGTAGTAAGCAGGGGACAATTACTGGCATGTAACGAGTGAAGACCTGAGATGCTGTGCAACATCCTGCAATGCACAGAGACCCCTGGATAACAAAGAATTTTATGACCCAAAATGTCAATGATACCAAGTTAAATAAGTTGTCCACAAGCATTCAGGATTGATTTTTTTTAAAGTGGGCAAAAGATAAAATAGTTGGATGGATGGATGACGGATGGATGGATGGATGGGCAGGTATGTGAGTAGATAGATGGATGGATGAATGATGGCTAGACAAATGAAAGAGAAAGAAGAAAAATACAGTGGCACTTTTGTTTATGAACTTTATTTTGCCACTTGAGGGAAGATGGTCATGTTTGTGTTTGTGTGGGGAAGATGGCTGTGGTCATGTTTATCATCCAACTTGGAATTTGCAAATGGAAACAAAATTTTGCCAACTGCTTTCATTTGTGAACCAAATTGTTTGCAAACAGAAGTATCCGTGAATGGAGGTATTATTGTGTATAGTCAGATGAGAGACAAAGTGAGAGAGAGAGAGAGAGAGAGAGAGAGAGAGAGAGAGAGAGAGAGAGACAGAGAGAAGCACAGACAACTTTTTACATTCAGCCATTGATTTATAGCTGGGAAGACAGACTTGCAGCTCAAGTTATCTTACATTCTACCTTAAGAACCAAGAACAGGGGCTGGGGATTTAGCTCAGCGGCATAAGCGCCTGGCTTGCAAGCAGGCAGTCGTGAGTTCGATCCCTGGTAACAATAAAAACGAAAAAGACAAAAAAAAAAAAAAAAAAAAAAAAAGAACCAAGAACATTCTAAGTCAACTTACAAGATCTCGCAAGGGAGAACATGTGCTTGCTTACTGAGCATAACAACTGCTAGGTGGGTAAGTCAGCTGTGGCCTCTTCTCCATTTGTCTCATCACATGTCAAGGTTAAGGAGAATCCCTGACCAGTCCACAGCTGGGCCAAGAATTGGGGCAGAAACACACTCTCTGAGGACCCCAAGCCCGGATTTTCTTTACATGCCCCCACTGTTTTACACAACATTTGTCACAGCTGTAACTCAGCCACCACTGCAGTTCCCTTTTAGGGCTTATCTCTGTGCTTCTCTCTGCCCATAAGCCCCAGGACAGTGCCCAACCCCCCTGCACGTCTTGCCCACTGCAGCATCTCCGACAAGTGCTCCAGCTGTGCCCTTGTCACTTGTTTGTTGGATGAAGAAGTGACCATAAGC